CCGCCCCAGCCCCTCTCCTGGAGCGCTGTGTCTCCTGCCTGTCCTCAGCCCTGTGCCCGGGGCTGGGCTTACTTACAGATGCACCTGTTCTTCTTTTTTCCTTCTTGGAAGAGACATTCTTCTCTTGCCTTCCATGTCCTGGCCTGCCACCCCCCATCCCACGCCATTATTTGTCCACCTGTCTGGCCTGTCCATCTCTGCCAGCCCCTCCTTTCCAAACAACCTCTAAAGGCTGGGGGACCCTGGGCACATCCCCATCCCTCCTCTCTTTCCTATTTTCCCTAGTCCATCTTTTCTGAGTGACCTTCTCAGGTCTCACAGTTTTGGATACCATTTTCATGCTGACATTCCCATATTTATGTCACCAGCACAGACCACTCCCTGGAGGTCCAGCTGCCCACTTCCATCTCTATTTGGGTGTGTTTTAGACAAGTAACCCTTACCCCAAACTTGCACCTCCCTCAGGCCCCCCATCTTAGGACATGGCACCATAGTTCATGGGGAAACTCAAGTCCCAAACTGAAGTTGTCACCCTTGACTCTTTCTCATGCCACATCTATCCACCAGCCAATCCCACTGGGTCTCTCTTCAACACAACCACCTCCATCTCATTTAATCCTAATGACACTCCAGTGATGTAGAGATTCTGACCTCATTTTGCAGGTGAGTAAACTGGAGATCAGAGAGGTTAGGCCATTTGCCAAATAGATGCCAAAACTGGAACTCGAACCCAGGTCTGTCAAAACGAAACACTATGCTCTTAGTCACTCTCTCCTCTCCCCACTCCATTCCAGAGGAGGTAGAGATGGTAGGCCATTTGCCAAATAGATGCCAAAACTGGAACTTGAACCCAGGTCTGTCAAAACGACTATGCTCTTAGTCACTCTCTCTTCTCCCCCTCCATTCCAGAGGAGGTAGAGATGAGACATTGTGCTCATGTGGGCTTAGGATCCCAGACAGCAAGAACCAGAAGGATCATCCAATAGATGGAGAAACTGAGGCCCAGAGAAGGGAAGAGAGGGATTTGCCAAAGTCATACAGCAGAGCTGGCATCAGAAGCCTCGGCTCTCAACCCCTCTACCAGGCATAATGTCATGTAAAATGGGGCTAATAACCCATAGACTTTTCGTGAAGACCAAGCAACTCAACTTTGTAAATTGTGAAGTGTTATATAAATATCAAGGATGTCACCGTTCAACTGGGTCGAGAGCCTGAGGGTGGGGACTCCCCGCAGCAGGGGCAGGGGCTGGGGTGACAGGTGCTGACCCGAAGGGGGAAGGAGAGGACAGGGGAGGAGTCCTCGCTTGTCCCTGAATGGGGTCAGCACTGGGGCTAGAGAGGTCTGGCCTCAGGCAGAGCCATGCACATGCTCCACAGGCACTGTGGCTACAGCAAGGCCTTCCAGGACTCAGACGAGGAGAAGATGCACTATCAGAATGGGCAGGGTGAGTGCCGGGGCCCAGGGATCTGAGAGCAAAGAGGAGGTTGCAGTGGGAACCAGTGCTAGTCTGGGGGTGGGAAGGAGAAAGGTGCTCACAGAAAAGACCAGAACCCCAGAAATAGAGACTCGGAACTCCAGAGATAGACAGCAGAATGTCACAGAGACCTGAGACCCCAAAAGTGCCATGCTGTTCACCTTTCCTGAGTCGCAGACCCCACTGAGAATGCTAGAGACCCTCTCCCCAGGGAAATGCATAAATGTGTGCACTTACACACAGTTTTGCATACAATATTGGGGGCAGGTTCATAGACTCTTGGACAAGAACCCTGCTATGGTTTTTCAGGACCCTGCAGAGACCCCAGAAAACAAGGCAAATGCGGGGCTCCCTACCTCCACACCCTACTTCCGTGCCCATGTAGACATTTGTCTCAGTCATGGTACCAATTCCCATTGAGCCCGAATGCAGCCTCAGAATCCTTAACACAGTCATCTAGGGAACCACTTTCAATTAGTTTGACACTTGTGACGAAACCTTTTTTTGCCACATTCCTGCCTCAGAACAATTTAGAAAGATCTTAAGGACTCTAGAAAATGACAGACATGCTCCAAACTCACTGGAGACCCCAAAGTTTCCTAGAGACTCCAGAGCTAGTCCATAGAGACCCTTCTTTCACTTGGCAAGAACTCGCTGGGTGCCTCCTCTTCGCTCCGACATCCTGAGATGCCCAGAGATACTCCTCGCCCCGCCCCCAGACCCAGGGAAGGATGGGAGGGAAAGTCTTCCTGGACCCCACTGAAGGCCCTTCTTCCCTGGCCCCTCAGCACCTCCACCTGTCTTCCTGCCCCTGCACCACCCCCCGGGGAAGATCCCAGAGCCCCAGTTCTATGCAGAACCCCACACCTACGAGGAGCCAGGCCGGGCAGGACGCAGGTTCACCCGAGAGATTGAGGCTTCCAGGATCCACATCGAGAAAATCATCGGCTCTGGTGAACCTCGGGTGTTATGGGGGTGGGGACAACGTGGGGAGGTGCCCAGGGGAGGAGACACCCAGGGCAGAGGGGAACCGAGGAGCCTGGCACAGCCGGGCCCACTGGGGCACTCGGGTGTGTGAGGCTGGGGGAGTACAGGGTTCTCGGGTTGGGGGAGGAGGGTGCCACTACCCTCCCCCTGCCTACCCCTTGGGGTCCACAGGAGAGTCAGGTGAAGTCTGCTACGGGAGACTGCGGGTGCCAGGGCAGCAGGACGTGCCTGTGGCCATCAAGGCCCTCAAAGCCGGCTACACAGAGAAACAGCGACGGGACTTTCTGAGTGAGGCGTCCATCATGGGTCAGTTTGACCACCCCAATATCATCCACCTTGAAGGTGTCGTCACCCGTGGTAGGTGCCGGGCAAGGGCAATCTTACCCTGCAGGGCCCCTATTGCCAGGGACAGGGATCTGGGTCCATCCTCGCCCCACCCCGTTCTGCCCCCGCCCTGCCACTGTTCCCTGGCTCAGGTCCCCAGATGACTCAGTCGAGGAGGGGCCCCAGAGCCAGGAACCTCAGTGGGAACCCTCGCCCCCCTGGGGCCCTCAGCACTGCTGCAGCTCCTGTAGCTCACGGTGGGCTACACGTGTCTGGGGTCCCTGATCAGCAGTCCTGATCTCCTCACCAAGAGCCACAGCCTCCTTGTCCCCCTCCCCAGGCCGCCTGGCAATGATCGTGACAGAGTACATGGAGAATGGCTCTCTCGACGCCTTCCTGAGGGTGCGTGCCCCGCCCTACCTTTCACATGGGCTGGCGGGGGGCGTCCAGTCTGGATGTTGGGCGACCACGTGAGGCCTCCAAACATCCCGGGAGCTTGGACCCTGGGGAAGGGCTGCCAGGTGCAGAGTCCTAAGGATCAGCCAGTCAAACTGCCTTTTAGCCCTATCACATGTGAATCCCTGTGCTGCACTGCCGTGGCCCAAGGTAGGGTGCCTGTGTGGGGACCCAGGGCCCCACCCAGAGGGGAGGCATGGCGGCTGTGATGAAAATCGCTGGAGTCCCAGCCCCCGCCCTGCTGTATTTGCTCTTAGGCATAGGACTTAACCTCTCTGGGCCTCCATTTCTTCTGCAAAATGAACAGTCCTTGCCGCCCCACCTACCCCTCAGGGTTGCTGTGAGTGCGAATGAGACCATGGGGATGAACCTTAACCCGTCACATGCTTCCTAAGCAGTGAAGCACTTTGCAGACTGCAAAGAGCCTTCCTGCAGCCCACGCTGTGTCCTCTGCAGACTCACGACGGGCAGTTCACCATCACGCAGCTGGTGGGCATGCTCAGAGGGGTGGGTGCTGGCATGCACTACCTCGCAGACTTGGGCTACGTCCACCGTGACCTGGCTGCCCGCAACGTCCTGGTCGATGGCAACCTGGTCTGCAAGGTGTCTGACTTTGGGCTCTCCAGGGTGCTGGAGGATGACGCCGATGCCGCCTACACCACCACGGTGAGTGCGTGGCCCACTCCCCTTTCTAATAGGCCCAGGGTGGGGCAAAGCAGCACAGAAGGGACCCCCACCTGCCATGCAGCAAAATTGGAAATTTCTGGGTTGCCTTCTACGTGGGGCAAGTCCTGCTGCTTCTCTACACCTCAGTTCCTCCCTCTGGGAAATGGGAACAACCTCGCCCCCTTTCCTCTGTCACTGAGTGGGTTCTGGACCTCAGGGCTGGTCTCCACTGTCACTAACTGGGAGATTTGGGAAGAGTTGGTTGGCACATCTCTGAAACACACATCCACTTCACATCTGTCTCTAAAGTCTGGCTAAAACCAAGCATTTTCAGAATGTATTTCATGGAGATCTGGTTTTTCCTAGAGGTGTCTCAGGGCTGCCTTAGAGGCAGGAGGCTGAGTGGCAGCGGCTCTGGCCCTCCACCCCCGCCTCAATCAGAACCTTCCCTTTGGATCTTACCCACTGGGCCTCTGAATGAGGTTTCACTTAGAGAAAGGATTTGTGAACCCCCCAAAAAGAAGAAGAGATTAGGCAGGGGCAGGGAAGACTAGGCCATGTTCTCTGAGATTCATCCTTTGTTCAGGCATCGACCGCTTGACTGACACTTACTGAGCATCTACTGTGTGCCAGGCGCTCACACAGTTTCTTCGTTCAGTCTTCACAGCAGCTCTGTGTGCAGGCCTCCCCCATCAGAACAGGTGCCCTTGGAAGGCGAAGGCCATGTTTCCCCCGCTGAGCTGACAGTTTCCCAGCCTGGGAAATAGCACCCCAATGTTCAGCTCCCTGGTTCTGGCTGGAAGAAGCTGGACACTCCTGTGTCCATTGCAGGGAGGGAAGATCCCCATCCGCTGGACAGCCCCTGAGGCCATCGCCTTCCGGACATTCTCCTCGGCCAGTGATGTGTGGAGTTTTGGTGTGGTCATGTGGGAGGTGCTGGCCTACGGGGAGAGGCCCTACTGGAACATGACCAACCGTGACGTGAGTACCAGGCCCTGGCTAAGCAAAGGCGGTGTGGGCCTTAGAGGGAGGGACAGCCTCAAGCCTGGCGTCGTGCTCCCCCTCCCCAGGTCATCAGCTCCGTGGAGGAGGGGTACCGCCTGCCGGCACCCATGGGCTGCCCCCGTGCCCTGCACCAGCTCATGCTCGACTGTTGGCACAAGGACCGGGCCCAGCGGCCTCGCTTTTCCCAGATCGTCAGCATCCTTGATGCGCTGATCCACAACCCTGAGAGCCTCAGGGCCACGGCCACCGTCGGCAGGTGCCTGGTGCCCACCCCAGCTCCCCGCCAGCCCAGCTGTCCTCCCAGCATTGCCCTGACCTAGTCCAGGCCTTGGGACAGTTCAGCCCTGACTCCTCAATCGGACCTGCCTGGGTCCCGACCCCTGTTCTGCCTGGGCCTTCCTCAGCCCTCTCCTTCCAGCCTGTGGTCTAGCCTGTCAGACCCCTTGCCCACTGCTGAGCCTACACAGAGGCTGAGGGTGGCTAGTGCCAGGGTTCCCAAGGAAGGCAGAGGCCCTGGCAGGCCGCTTACCGCAAGCTCCTGTGCCTCAGGTGCTCGGCCCCGGCCTTTGCCCAGAGCTGCTTTGACCTCCGCGGGGGCGGGGGCGGCAGCGGGGGCCTCACCGTGGGGGACTGGCTGGACTCCATCCGCATGGGCCGCTACCGGGACCACTTCGCCGCTGGTGGTTACTCCTCTCTGGGCATGGTGCTTCGAATGGACGCCCAGTAAGTGGTGGTCCCATGGGGGTGGGGGCACGGGGAGAGGGCAGGGGGGCAAGATGCAGAGCCACTGAGGAGGCTGGACGCTCCAGGGGATGAGTGTGTCCCTGTCTTCACGGCTCCCAGCCTCCCGAGGCAACCTGGTCAGCACTATTCTTCCTTTACAGGGACGTGCGTGCCCTGGGCATCACCCTCATGGGCCACCAGAAGAAGATCCTGGGCAGCATCCAGACCATGAGGGCCCAGCTGACCAGCACCCAGGGACCCCACCGGCACCTCTGACCAAACCGAGCTAGCCCCAGGCCATGCCGGCTGCCAGAGGCCTTGCAGGGTCGGCCGGCAGTCAGAGCAGCCCCAGGCGTCTGCCCTTCCCCCTTGGCTGCCTTCCTGTCAGGCGCCTGTGAGGCCAAGGACTCCACTGAAGGACCTGGAGTTGTCAGGGGTCGGCCACCTGGGAAGGGACCTTTGGTGCTCAGCACAACCAGGACACCTGCGCCCAAGACAGAGAGCCTTCTTTTTCCCAGAGGCTGGGGCCTCAACACCGCTGAGCCCAACAGAGAGTTCACTCACCTGCCTCTGCGTGTGTGTGTGCGTGTGCATGCGTGCGTGTGCTCCTGTGCTGTGTGGGGTGTGTTCTCACAAGGTCATGGGACCACATGTGCGTGTGCTCATCCACCAGGTCCCAGCATGTGTGCCAGTTGTGGTACACATGTTTATTCATGACTCAGAACACATGTATGCAACCATGGGTGGCATGTCATGAATGAGGATGAGTGTCACGATACTGTGAGCAGGGAACTTAGTGTGACACTGCCCATTGAATGTGGGCCTAGGTCCTGGAACCCACAGGGCCTGGAGAGAGGCTCAGGCCCACCTTACCCCACAACTGGAGGCCAGAGCCAGGGGCCACTTCCGATCCACACCAGCACCAGGCCCACCCTTGTCTCTCTCCGGGTGAGCCCACCCCGGCTCTATCTCAGGTCCGAGCCTTCCCTCTAGCTGGTGGGGGCCACCTACAGCCTCCGCCTGGCTCCATCGCTGCTTCAACAGGAAAACAGGGTTCCCGGCCAGCCCCTCTGGCCACCTCTGTGTCGGCATCACCACAGGGTACATGAGATGCCCTCAGCTGGACTTGGCTGCCTGGCTAAGAGACAGGGGCCACCAAGTTCCCTCTAGTCGCTGATGCCCCTCCATAGCCCAGGGCTTCTCACTCAGAATTCCTTCTGCCAACCTCACTGTCCCCCAGCCCCATGTCTGGGATCAGGGACCATTAGATACTAGCTTTTCAGCCTCAAGTCACTGTTCCTGTGCCATCTGGGCATCACGAGGGAGTGTGCCTTGTCCAAGGTCACACAGCAGCCGAGTATCCAAACTAAGCCTCCCCCCAGGGCTCTCTCCCCCACACCATCCTACAAGGACAGCTGTGGGTGGGAGGGGCTTGGGAAGCCCTCCCACTCAGACACTGATCTTGTCCCTTATGGCCCACCAGGGTATGTAAATATCTTTTTTCTACCATGTCAGAATATTTTTTTCCTCACTCCTGACAATGCAAAAATGGTCTTCAAAGCACATAAAAAGCACCCAGGGTGAGAAAGCTCCATCCCAGGGGAAGCTGGCAGGGCCCAAGGAACCCCACCAGGCAGGATGCCAGGTGCCCCCTGCCAGCCCTGAGGGAGGGGCAGGCCCAGCTCCCACCCCTGGCCCAGCCTCCCCTTAGCCAGCACAGCTGTTCTGCGGAGACACCAGCACTGAGTCCCCCTCTCCCTCCTGCAATAATTCGGGGAGTCTCAGCCCCACCCAGGTGCCGCGGCCAGCTCTCTACACCTCTATATATTATATTACTATATAGCCGAGCTGTTCTTTCTTCCTATGGAAGTCGGAAACATGGTCAGGACACGATCCGGGGAGGACCCTGTCTTCCTCCCGTCCCCACCCCACTCTCACCCAGCTTCTGGGCTCTGGATCCTCATAGTCAGTGGGGGACATAGTGGGGCTGGCATTTACAAAAGTGTGGCCCTTACCCCCGACATGAGGTGCCCCCCAGGGTCCCAGGGACCTGCCTCTCTGTGGTCTCCATAGTGAGTCTTGAACTTGCCCACAATGAGAATAAATTCTGCCTCATCTTTACCTGTGTCTCTCATTTTTTCCCATCCCTACAACCTCGACATCTGGCCAGGAAGGAGCAACCTTACGCTGTGTACCTACGGTATACATGCCATGCATTTCTTTCTCTCTGGTCTTCTCATCTCTCCCAGGAGGTAGGATTCATGTACCCCTTTTATATATGGGAAGGCTGAGTCTTACAGAGGTCAACTTGCCTAACGCCAAGTGTGTGGGGGCTGAATCAGAACCCAGGTTTGTCCAACTTTAGAGCCCATGATTCACAAGGAAGCACCCCCATCTGCCCCATATTCTCACTTCCAGAATGTTCAGACAGTGCTGAACACTGGAGCACGGTCCCTTGCAGCTGGACATTGCTGTTGCCTCTGGTTCTCTGGGGGAAGAAAGATGGCCCCTAGAGGAGGAACACAGAAGGAAGGAGCATTTCATGGGAACGACCTCCTCGGGACCAAGGTGTCCATCGAGAGACATGCATGCTATGGAGCAGGGAAGGGAAGATGGGGTGCAAGCATATTCCATAGTTACATCAGGGGGCTGAGGACCCACCTCTGCTCCGGGAGAGAGGGGACAGCAGCAGGAGCCAGGGTGGTGGCATCGGAGGCTGGGAAGGAGGCAGGGGCAGAGAGCACAGCCCGTGTCCATTTGAGTCAATGGCTCAGCTGTTTGAGGAAGATGCCCCTGAGATCTTACTGACAAACAAGTAAATGATCTCCAGCAGCTGAGAGATCAGCTGACAAACAAGTAAATGATCTCTGGCTGAGAGAAAGGTCTTCTACCCTGCACCTCTCTCAAATTGGGAACGTGGAACTAGGAAGAAAACACCTTTAGCATATTTCTAAAATCTCACTAAAAATCCCAACAGCCCTATGAGATTGATAATACTGCTTCCCTCTTACAGATGAGCACAAGCATGCACAGAGAGGCCACTGTCCCACACAGTGCGACCACCACACAAAGCCAGATACATCTGATTTCAAACCAGGTATATTTCCCCCTGAAACTTCAAACTCCATTTCAGGGCCCCTCCCCCACAGGACCAGCTGTTTCCTCTGAGGAAGAACCTGTTACTACACACATCTTTTCCCTAAAGACCAATCATCAGAGCCTATTGAGCACCTATTGTGTACTGGGTGCTATTGAGGATACAAAGATAAAGGTGATGCAGCCCCTTCTATTCAGAAACTGAGACAAGGTGGAGGTACAAAGTGCACTAAAGTGGCTCCCTCAGTCAGATCCAGTGTGCTAAGTATCAGGAAATGGGGCATAGGGAAGGGTTAGAGAAGGTCAGAGGAGAGAGAGAGAGAGAAACAGAGAGACAGAGAGAGAGACAGAGAGAGAGACAGAGACAGAGAGAGACAGAGAGACAGAAGGTGGAGGGCCAAGGCTGTCTCCAAGGACTTCCCGGAGGAGGCATTCAGCTGGGCATTGAAAGATGAGAAGGGTTTGGAGGTTCATCTCCTAGGTAGCCCCCTGTTCAAGAATGAAATGCAGAGGGGAGGAAGAGTACAGCCAGAGGAACAATAAACTATGTTTGTAGATGGGAAGCCCCGCTATTATAAAGTTGGCTAGTTCCTTCCTATTTAATCTATACATTTACTTCCAATAAAATTTGCAATGGAGTTTTTCTCTGCGACTTGACAAAGTCATCTCAAAATGTATATGGAATAATAACCCAAAATGGCCAAGATAATTTTGAAGAAGAAAGAGAAGGAAGAGGAAGGGAACCTCACTCTGTCAGATATCAATAATTACTAGAAAGCTCTAAAAATTAAAATAGTTTGATTTGGTCCCAAGAATAGAGAAAGAGATAAAAAGAATGGAGAATATGCCTAGGAAGTGATCCAAATATGTATGGGAGTTTGAAACATGACCAGGGTAAAGGATGATCTAGTTAACGGGTGATGTTAGGACAATTAAATACCCTCCTGGAAAAAGATAAAATTAGATCCCTACTCCCACCACTCACAAAATAAGTTCCCAGTGATCAAAGTCTTCAGCGTAAAAAGTAGACTATAAAACAAACAAACAAACAAAAAACAGGAAAATAACTTTATCAGGAGACAAATGATAAGGGAAAGCCATGCTAAATCTTAGTTCATTAAAATCTAAAAATTCTAAATAACAAATAAATTTGTTAAAGCCACAGCTGGAAGAAGATATTTGCAACCTATATAATCAACCAAGAGAGAATTAGTTTCCAAAATAAAATTTCTTTAAAATTTCAAAGAATCGATTTACCAAAACATTCCAAAGCAATAGGAAAATGGGCAAAAAATGAACTGAACAGACAAATAACAGAAGAAGAAATTTAAATGGCCAATAAAGATATAAAAAGATTCTCAGCATCACTAGTAAACATGGAAATGCAAATTAAAATAATAATGAGAGCATATTATACCAATCTGATTGGCAAAATTTGTTTCTAACGCTAGTATTGATGAAAGTGTGGGGGGAATAGTAATGTTTATAAACTGCCAGTGAGAATATAAATTGGTACAACTTTAGAGAGCAATTTGGAAACACTTAGCAAATTTTGAGATGAGCAAATCTAGGACCCGGCAGCTCCACCTTAGTGTGAGCCTGTCTTAGGTTAGGTTACTAAGCAGTGCCTGAGATTCTTGTGCAGGTGGTTTATTTTGGGAGAGCTCTCAGGTGAGAGAGGGGAAGGCAGAGAGGCTGGGAGGCAATGCTAAGCAATGATTCCCGGTGAAGACTAGCTTCAATCTGATGCAGCAGGGAGTTCTAAAACACTAATAACATCACAGAGTTGATCCACCTTGAGGCAAGGGGGTCCAGACTTTGGTACCCCCCATTTTCATCGGTCATTGCTTGTATGCTGCCCATGGGGTGGGAGAGGTCATGTCACTTTCTGGGTGAGAAAGTTCCCAAAAAGGGAGCAGCTAGGAGATCTTAGCAGCCAATACAGGGCAGATGGAGCATGACGGTACCCACGGGTCAAAGGAAGCTGGGTGCAGCACCTACAGTGTTTTCTATGCATCTCATTTCATACTCATATGCAAAAGGATACATGTCCAAGGATGTTTATTACACCTTAGTATGTAATAAAAATGAGGGGCAGCCTAACTGCCTCTCAACACGGGAACAGGAAAATAAGCTGCTTGATAAGTACAATGAAATTGTCTATCGCAGTTAAAATAAAT